GAGGCTCCAGCCACAATGCAGGAAGCACTAATGTGGCCGTGCAGGAGACCATGTGGTTTTACTGTCTGTTACTCCCCTGTGTTGTCACTTAAAATCAGATAGCAATTGCTACACTAGATCAGATGCATGGTCCATCTAATCCAGTATCCTGTCTCTGCCAGTGGCCAGTGCAGGTGCCTCAGAAAAAGGTGTAAGAAACCCATAGTAGGAAAGTACAGGATATTTGGACCCCATATTAGGTACCCTCCTGCTCTCTAATAGGCAGGGATTGTCTTAAGGCCTGAAGCACAAGTTTTAATATCCCTTCTAAAATTGTTGTTATAATTAATTATTATAACCCTTGATATTCTTTATCCTAAATGTTCAATTCCTTTTTGAATCTTACTAAGTTCTTGACCCCAATGACTTCCTGTGGCAGTGAATTAATCACACAGTTTGTGAACAAGTTTTTCCTTTTATCAATTTTGAATTTCCCACCTTTAAATTTCATTGTGCTTGTTATGAGACAGAAGAACAGAGAGAGAGAGAACAGAAGATCCTGATCTACCTTTTCTAAACCTTGCATCACTGTAATATACCTTTATCATGTTCCCTCTTGTTCATCTCCTTTCTGAGGAAAACATCCCAGCGTTTTCAATCTCTTTTCATAGGAGAAGTTTTTCCATTCCCTCAGCCATTCTCGTTACTCTTTTTGGAAGCCCTGCCGGTTCTGCAATATCCTTTAACAGATGGGGTGGCCAGTGTTGCACACAGCATTCTGAAGGACTTATATCAAGGCATTATAACCTTCTCTATATTATTCTCCTGTTCATTCCTTATGCCCCCCTAGCGTATTAGGTTTTCTGACTGCAGCTGCATGTTGACCAGAGATCTTCACTGAACTGTTGACAATGACATCGAGGTCCCTGTCACAATCTGGCTCTGGGTTAATCTAAATCATCATCAGACTGGACCCGATTGAAACACAAAATTAGGATATATATCAAAATTGTTCATATAATTAATTAATAAAAAGTCTGTTCTTAGACTGGATCTCTGATGTAGCATTCTGCAGCTTAGATTTAGTTTGAGCACAGCATCTTAAAGTCTCTACGTCTTCCAAACTGAATCTTTAAAACCTCGATTTAAAATTTTCCTCTGCTGCAGAAGATGGAGTCAGAAACCTGCAATGGTTATGTGACTAAGCGATGCATAAAATGTAATAATACTGCAGTGAGCATGTTTGTTCTTGCCATATAGCCAACTCCCTTAAGGCAGGGAGTATGCCAGTCTCTCCCAGTGTGCCTTCATACAGAGTCATGGCATTTGCAATAGCTGGGAGAAAAAACTGGTTAGTGGCATGAAGAGGTGGGGAGCAAGGTGAATGAGAGAGTCTCACCCCCACCCTCCCCGGCTAAACGGCAGGGGCCCCTCAGGGCTCTTGGTTCAGCTGGCGCTGGGGGTGGGAAGGGAGAAAAAAGTTTTATAATGTGGGGAGGGAGGAATTAGTGAAATGTAATGAAAAGAAATGGAACATGGATCATAAAGTAATGGGAGATGGTCAAAACCTTCAATGAACTGTTGAGAGAAAGGGAGATAGACCAGAGGATTGGGTCAGAATTCCCCCCACCTATTTGTGCTATGCTTGTTCTGGAACTTGAGTGAGGAGAATGGCTCCCTGCCACCTCCGCACTCTCCCAATCTCCAGCGTTGCTGGTGGGGTTTGGTTTGGCCCTCTATGCAAGTGAGAATGACTTAACGGCCCAAAGGGCCATTACACCATCTGGGGCTTGTTACAAGCAATGCAATGGCCACATCCCCCTCACTTGGCCATAAGCTGACAGACAAAACCTAAGCCTAATTTCCCCAATACTAATTTCCCCCTACTGTTACTCACACCTTCTTGTCAACTGTCTGTAATGGGACACTCTCATTACCACTTCAAAAGTTATTTTTCCTGCCTTGGTATCCTGCTGTTAATTGATTTATCTCGTTAGACTGACCTCACACTTGGTAAGGCAACCCCCATCCTTTCATGTATTTATACCTGCTCCTGTATTTTCCACTCCATGCATCTGATGAAGTGGGTTCTAGCCCACAAAAGTTTATGCCCAAATAAATTTGTTAGTCTCTAAGGTGCCACAAGGACTCCTCGTTGTTTTTGCTGATACAGACTAACACTGCTACTCCTCTGAAACCTATGCTGGGTGAGGGGACGTAGAGCGGGCATATCCTAAGGTGAGTAAAGCTTGGTATGTATGCAGTGCAATCAAACATCCATGGCTGACCCATGTCAGCTGACTAAGGCTCATGGGGCTCAGGCTAAGGGGCTGTCTTATAGTGATGTAGTCATTTGAGCTCGGGCAGGAGCCTAGGCTATGGGACCCTTCCCTCTTGTGGGGTCCTAGAGCCTGGGTTCCAGCCCATGCTCAAATGTCTACACCACAGTTAAACAGCCCCTTAGTCTGAGCCTCATGAGGCCAAGTCAGCAGAGATGGGCCAACCATGGGTGCTTAATGGCAGTAGACATTCCCGTAGGGATTTCCTCATGCTGGGGAGAATCCTTAGCTGCCTGGTTAAAACAGCTTTGCAGTCTTTTTACTGCTGCATTAGTTTTATTGCTGGTACAGTTCATGGTGTTGGGAGTTATTATATCACCTCAGAAATAGCTGCATTGATTGAGATTTTATATATGAAATTCAAAAGTTTGCATTAATGCACATTTGATTGCCACTGGAATCATTGTTAACTCTGCACATCCTGTAGGTTATACGGCATACTCTAACAAAACATAATGTAGCACGATTTAAAAAGTAAAGCAGAAGTACTTGCTCTGAGAAACACAGACAAGGTAACAGTGCTATGGGAACTTCATCTTCTGCATATCCTTATACTGTGTGGTTCTTAAACTGCATCATCTTATAGTGTGTTAACAGGGTTACATGTAATTTGTTTGCTTCCTTTAAGGAGAAAAAGAATGCAGCCCATATGAGCACAAGTCCATTTCATGCACTCTACTGCTGCTTTTAAGTAGTGTGAGCTCCTTTCATTTAGCCAATATTACAGATACATATTGTGACAGGGTTAGGCTAGATGGCTATAGGAGAGTAATAGAAGGCAGATATATTAGCCCCAGACTAAGTAGGTCCCTTTTCCCTGGGTAAGGTGACAGGGAAGGTTCCAGAACAACCAGGAACCTTCTGGAGACAATTAAGACAGGCTGATTAGAGCACCTGCAGCCAATCAAGAAGCTGCTAGAATCAATTAAGGCAGGCTAATCAGGGCACCTGGGTTTTAAAATGGAGCTCACTTCAGTTTGTGGTGTGCGTGTGAGGAGCTGGGAGCAAGAGGCACTAGGAGCTGAGAGAGAGAACGTGGACTGTTTGAGGAATGAGGTGTACAAGCATTATCAGACACCAGGAGCAAGGTCCTGTGGTGAGGATAAAGAAGGTGTTGGGAGGAGGCCATGGGGAAGTAGCCCAGGGAGTTGTAGCAGTCGCACAGCTGTTCCAGGAGGCACTCTAGACAGCTGCATTCCACAGGGCCCTGGGCTGGAACCCGGAGTAGAGGGCGGGCCCGGGTTCCCCCAAAATCCTCCCAACTCCTGGCCAGACACAGGAGGAGTTGACCTGGACTGTGAATTCAGAAAAACGGCCAAGCTGAGGGCTGCCGTGAAGCTCCAAGGTGAGCAAATCCGCCAATAAGCGCAAGACCCACCAAGGTAGAGCAGGAACTTTGTCACAATATTAAGAAGTGAGCACATAATAAAGTCATCAGTGTAGTATTTAACAGAACACCACAGGAAAGAAGAAAACAAAAGCAAGATAACCAGAGAGTACATTTGGAACTTGCTATCCAATGTAACAAGGGAGCCAAGGATTGGCCTTGATTTTCCCTCCCCCAACCAAGGCTCATTGGGCCCAAAGATCATCTCATCACTCACATATTTCAAACACCTTGAGCTCTGGAGGTCTTAGTTTGTTCTGGAGTGCAAATCATAAGGGTGTGGGAGATCTGAATTCATCATGACATCATGACTTCCAATGATCATTGATTGCACTTGTGTGGAGCTTTATAGACTTAGTGTGGGCTCAATTCCCAGTGAAAGTCAATGAGTCACTTAGGTTCTTTTGAAAATCTTACCACTAGAGCAAGAATCTTTGTACTGATCTGGGATATGTAGCTATAACTAAACATATGACATGATAGAGATTGAATTTAAGATCCAACTGGATCTTATGTGTGGTAGGACAAATCCTTGGGTCCTTACTCATCCAAACACCTATTAATTATAGTGAGAACTTACCTGAGTAAGAACCTATGGATTTGGCCACAGGTTATTTCTATAATCACCAATATTGCTTACTGAAAGTGAAGCAGTCATCACTATGCTAAAAGACCTGGTGGATGAGCCAGAGGAACAGACATACATGAAAGGTGCCCTCCAACATGCAAATCTTAGAGTCATGATCTATCCCTGATTATTTGTGTCTGATGTATAGATTTGCCAAATAATGCCAAACTTTTATGTTCACATACCAGCATGGTCTGCTAATATAGACAATTTTTTAAAATGGAAGATTTTAAGTTGCCTTTGAGGAAAAGCCTCCTCTTCATTTGATGCCTATGCATAATACCCATTGGTGCCATGATAGACATATACAACAGAGGCATGACTGCCAGTTGCTGAACAAATGCCCTGTATTAGTGAAATAAGTTATCTGGATATTCTTACATTTCTGCCTCAGTGCTTAATATTGAAATTCTTTGACATTCCTATAACATACTGTTCAAAATTAATGTTTGTTTAAACATCAGACATTTTGCATTAACTCTCTGCTGGATCAGAACCATTTGGTACAGTCTAAACCAGTCAAAGGAGAGTAGGTGGCTGTGTTCTCTCCTTGTGAGTTTACCCTCTTCTCACGTTTGTCTGAATGAAAACACTTCATTTTTAAGGCAGGCATGAATCTACCTTAACACATTGTTGCCTTCATAATATGTTTTCTTTCTGATTTCAGCCTGGGGGAGAGCTGCTGCTGCCACATTCCTTTTAGGCTATATCATTCTGGTCATTTGTTTTGCCCTGGCCATCATAGCATTCGCCATTGATACGCTTCGGTTCAACTTCATACGAGGAATCGGAGGCTTGCTCTTTACTGCTGGTAAGACTGTGTATGAGGAAAAGGTTGCCTTTTAAAATGGTACCTGTTGTAAAATTGGTACTTGCCTTATTTGACTCTTCAAACAAAGGAGTCTATGCCCAGTTCTATAGACACTCGGCACTTGGAAACTTCAATTAAAATCAATGGAAAGTCCATCCAAATAGTAAATCCTCAAACCTCTAAAACAAAGGTGGATTCAGCTAGAGATAACATCAAGGCAAAAACTCTAATGGATACCAGTTTAATCACTCATTCTGACTTTTTGTTGTTGTTGTCTTTTCTCTTTCTTCAGCTGCGTTCTCGGTCATGGCCCTGGTCATTTATCCAGTGAAGTTCACAAATGAAATTGACATGAGAGGAGTCAATATGTTCAGCTGGGCCTATGGCTTTGCTTGGACCACCACCATTATGGAAATAGGCCTGGCGTTCTTCTTCTGCTGCCTTCCGAATTACGAAGATGAGATCCTGGGCAACGTCAAGCCGACATATTTTTATACTTCCCCATAAATACTAGAAACAACAGGAGACGTGCCTTACTGTTGTTTTGATATTTAGATTCCAGAGATACATACAGACTATCTTATTTTTACAGAGTATTATGACCAGGAATTAGTAGAAAGGCTTGGAAACTTTTTTATGCAAGTAGAAGTATAGTGTTGGAGTTATAGAATAGAAGATCTAAATTGTTCTGAATTTTCCTCTTTGATATGGGTTTGTTAGGGTTAATTATTCTACCATTTTGTATTGCTCCATTACTTCCCACTAGTAGCAGTGTGGGATGGTTCTGGTATTGGTGCTTCAAGCATCTGTGTTTTTATTTAAGTTCAAACAAGCCTTTTAATTCCTCAGGGAATCAGTTATGGGGTCAGACAACACAAACCCTGGTTTCCTGAGGCAAAGCAGCTCAGGAAAACCAGATACCATGATATGTGGGTTTATTTGTTTAGTTTAACCTGAAAAGTGATATTTGGTTGCTTACAAAACCTGCCTACCCACTTTGTGCCACCATTGCCAATAATTCAGTCACCACTGCGTAACTTTGTTTCCTCTTTTATTCATAAAAAATATAGCACTTAGAGGCAGAGATGAGATAGAGAAAACTACTTCCTTGTTTTTAACAGGCCATTTTTATTTCTCTCAATGCTTCTGTTGCATAGTTTAGTTGCTAAATTGTCAAAGGTGAACCAGAAATAAGAAGAAAAATAAACGGTCTTCAAATACCACTAAACATAAACAAGTATTATCACTGTGTAGTGTGCGCTGCAATGCAAGCGGTCTTAAAAATCCTGGGTGAGATTCTGGGCTGCTACTTAGAGGAGCAGCACAGGATTAGCACACTGCGGGAGGGAGACAAAAGTAGCTTTAAGACACCCTTTCACCCTTCAGATTCTGGGCTGCTCTGAGGGCTGGAGAGACCCCTGCTGTAATGTAGAGAGTTCTGATGAACTGTTTAAGTTATGTTTCAGAGTAACAGCCGTGTTAGTCTGTATTCGCAAAAAGAAAAGGAGTACTTGTGGCACCTTAGAGACTAACCAATTTATTTGAGCATGAGCTTTCGTGAGCTACAGCTCACTCATGCCAGCCTCACCAGGTTGCCGTATGGACAGCAGCACTGTCCAAACCTCCATAAACCCATGTGCTGTGGGTCTACCCATGACCCGCCTCCTCTGCTCCTAAACCCATCCTTGGCATGTCCCCTATGCCAACGCCTCAGGAGTCCTTGAAGGACAGCCTGCTTCTGTCTTCTTCAGTTCCTGCACCATTGGAATTCTTCCCTCATCAAATCTAGGGCTTTTAGAGCCCCTTTACACCATTCCAGCCGTTTTACCTGGTATCAAAGGGCCAGAGCTGGTATGGGAATCTCACCTCTATTTACCCCTATGGCCCTCATCCCTACAGTATCCAATTGTCTCTATACTATTGAACTGATGGAATTTGAATTTAGAGTTATTAAACAAGTTAAAACAAAATCCCTTTCTTATTGGGCTCTTTCATTTAGTTCTATTACTTTCTGAGTGGAGAGGGAGAGTGTGTGTGTGTGATGTATATATAATATGCACACACACAAATACACTCTCACACAACCTCCCACCGTAAGACCTGTATAACAAGACACAACCACATTTTATAAAACATTTTCAGATATATTTCGTATTCCACAACACTAAAAATATATTAGAAGTAAAGACGTTTGCTTGCTGTTTTCTGTGTTATATATCCTGATTTTGTAATATTCCATCTTTTGCTTTAGGTGAAAAAATTATAGACCAAATCCTATTATCCTTATCTAACAACAACTCTCACTGAAGTCATTATATCATTTTCTAAGACTAATATTACCTTGTAATACATTTACCTCTCTCTTTATATACTGCAGATGATGAAAACTGCCACACTGAGTATTCCACACGATAAAATATGAGATGCAGGAATGAAACCTGGTCTTCCTTGATAAAGGTCTTGGACAATTAAAAAAAGTTAAGCTAAACAACCAGAGTATTATATTGCACTAATTTTGCAGCAGTGTAACTCCATTTACTGCTCTGAAGTTACACCTGACTTAGACCAACAAAATTGAGAGAAGAATCAGACCCAAAGCATATATATAAACCCTTGAGAATGGTTAGACAGAAGAGTTGTGTAATTAATTATTATGGTTCTTCCTGGCCAAAAAATTTAGAAAATATTTTGTATAAAAAAGTGAAAGAGTGCAGTTTATGCAGATGCAGTTCATCTGTTTAGGAATAAGCTGTTGCAGATATTTTCATGATGCTAACCATACTTAATAAATGATGGCCATCTGTGTCTTGTTTGAAACATGGTGATTGTATTTAATTCTATTTGGGGATTGGAAGGAAAGCAAGAGATAAAATACGCAAAACTACATTCCGTTGCAGTAGAACTCTGAAGCAAGAGGAGAGTGGGAAAGTAACTTGCAAATTTATTATTTCATATTAATGGGACTTCTATTATTCTTCATTTATATTCTGGTAGCACAATAGTTCACAGCTGACATGCACAGGAAGACACTGAACCTGCCCAGGAGAGCCTACAAATTATGAAGAGCTACAGCACATAATGATTAGGGCAGAGGGATACAATTATCTTATGTACAATGTTATATACTTTCTTATTAAATGCACATCAACTGATGAGGTGAACACCACAGTTTGTTGATGAGAAGGAGAAGTATAGACAGAGGCAGTTTCAAGGCTAATATTTACAATGAAGGACAATGAATTTTGATGTTCACCAAACTATGAAGTTGAAATGGGCCTGATCCTTTATTTCCACTCCCCAAAATTCAACAGACTTCTGATGAGCCAATCCATTTAAGGAGCATAGGCAGAATCTGGCCAATAATTTGTTCACTTTTAATAGTTTGTAGTTTTCGGGGTGCAAGGGGAGGTGCTCAAAACACAGGTGGCAGGGATACATTCCTCTCAAAGGAATTGTGTAAACTATCATGTGGGACTGAGGCCCTTGATATCTGAACAGAGCCTTAGAATTTTGGCAAACAAGGTTTCATTGCCCATGGACTCTGGCCCCAGTATTCAACACTCTGGACTAATCAACTTGCAGATGTTAGAAGATTGAACAAGAGACGGCAAGAGTCAACAGGTCAGCAGTGATTGATTTTGCTTTCATTGAATAAAGCATTCTAGGTACAGATTAACTTTACCTAGCTCAACATTTATCATCATTGCACTTGGCATTACATGCAAGCTGCAAGCACCTTGAAGCATATCCTGAATATTTCTCTCCTTTTACTGTAGCTTCTGTATACGTTTCTTTTGAACGCTTGCTTTTGTGTGTGCTGACACAGACTCCATTGGTTTCAGCACAGAAAAGAGAATCAGGAACTCCTGACTCCTTCTCTATAATGAAAGAAAATATCACTTCATTACCTCCGACTATTGTGAGGATGATTTAGAAAACACCAAAACAGCATTCTTTAGGTGGTTAGTATTATTTTGTAGCTTCCTACAGCAAAAATCCTCAGTGAATAATAACAGACGATACCTACACAAACAATATATGAGAGAGAGTGTTTTTTATACTTTCACTAGCTATCACAAAAGCTTTAAGAAACAAGGACATTTGATTTGCAACCCACAGAAAATCCTATAAATACAAATGATAAAGTAACTTGGAAGGAGGGTTTTTTTTTGCTACATCAGCATTTCTATACATTGGCTATGTAACTAGTTCTGGGGAAGTTTGGGTCAACAGTCAGTGCAGCACATTCCCAAGTGAGAGTCTTACAGAGTTATATTGGCTATTTGAACTGTGCAAGAACTAGTTCAAAAGTGCTATTGAATAATCATTAAACTAATGACTGATAGTGCCCATTTCAAGAAAAGGCTATTTTTAAAACAAAGGGCAACAGAAGGGTGTGGTCTGGCCATTGAGAAGTTGAAAAATACCAGAGTGCCGCAGCAAATACTTTGGATAATTAATCCCCAGAAAATAAAGATTATCACAGACCCTTGGAAAGGATGCACAAGCTTTCTAAGCCCCATCGATGTGGGGAAAGGTGAGAGAAAGGAGAAAAAATGGTGGAAAGCCATGTTTCCCAACCTTTGTTCTGTAGATCCTTTTGGTGCCTCCTCTTCCTCTGACACCCCGATTAGAGGAGCCAACCAGCTGGGAGCTACCCGGAATCCTAAAATGACAGACAAAACACAATTGTCTCTGGGAGAAAAATATCCTGTAACGAAGTTGAATCCCTTGCATGAGGATCTTTTGGAAACAACAGGTAGGAAATTGAGGCAGACAGGAATGGCCAAAGAAAAATTGGTGGCATAGACTCCATTGCTACAAAAATAAAAACCCCATTGTTAGAAAAATCAGGCCTCAGCCAAATCAACTTTAGGATGCTGGAATTTCCAATCAGAGGAGAAATTAAAAAGACATAGTGGAATGGGGGGAATAAGGGGAGAAACAAAACATCTCTCAACTTCTGTCTCTCAGTGTGAGGAGGACCTAGTTTCTAAATGAGGCTCTTACAGGGAAGGGGCAGTGAACCATGGTGGGCAGCACAGCAGAAGTCTCTGTATATCTCTTCAGGGACAGGGTAAGGTTTTTAATGGCAGTGCAGAAAAGAGATCAAAAATAAACTGATCGTTACAAGCTTTTGCTATTTTCAGAACCTTAGTGCTGCTGTGACAACAAAGAAGGAAAGTAATGACCAGCATTCAAAAGATTTTGCTGCTTAAGTCATTCCAGCCCGTTCCCAGCAAGGATCCAAATAATTTACTGAGAAAAAGCTGCATGTGGATGGGAATGTATGTAGCTAATATCAAAGATCAGATTACAAAATGTGCTGAAAACAGGAAGTTCTTCAAATGGACTTTCAGGTAGAAACAAAAGCAAAAGAACTGAAGAGAACTACAAAACTTTCAACCTGTAACGTAATAAAATACCTTCTAAATTAGTTTGTAACAGTTTCTAGTAGTTAGTAGAATTTGTGTAGCAAATTTTAGGTCTTGATCTTTTCAAATATT